TCTATCAAGGGTGGGGTGTGTGGTTATTGAATTGCTTTCAAAATGGCTCCTTGGCTAGTCCATGGGATCATACGTACTGTGTCATTGTGCTGGTGTCACAAGGACAATCTGTGCACTGGCGTACGGCCACAGAGAGCATGGGGTTAGAGTCGGGTCTGTCAGAAACCCGCTGTCATTTCCACCATCACCGTGGAGATTGTTGCAAACAGCCGAATCGAGCGGACTGATGTCAAGACATACTTAGAAGCTAATCATGCAGCAAATAGAGGCAAAGGGATTCCTGCAACAGCAACTGCCTGGCAGCACTCGCCCCAGTTAGAGCCATTCATGGGAAACATTTTAGCTCTGCCACTCACAGCTATGTTTTAGACTGAGGGTTGCTCTCAGATTAATGGATACCAAACCCAGTATGGACAACACTCTACTTCTCTCTGCTTATTCTTTGACACTGAGTGGTGTCTGCTCAGTGCTGCCTTTTGTAGGAAAAGCTTTGCGTTTGAAAGATAGCTTTTGTTTTTGTCTAAGAACTCGTGGACTGTCGTACCCCTCTGTCTTTTCATATCTGCAGATTGCTCTCCTCTCAGATGGCAAGGATAGATGGTTACCATTACCCCAACTGAGAGTCGTGTTGTGCCATATGCTGCCCATTTTCTTCAAATAACATGTCTAACTGCATCGAACGTGTGAGAGAAGAGACGGATGAGAGCAGCGGGGCTAGCTGCAAGGTTTGCTCTGAGCTCGTCAGACGCATCACCCTTGCATTAGCGGAGCAGGGTGGTTATAGCACAACATTCCTTTCTCTCACCTTTCTGTAGAGCTGCCCATGGTGCTTGTGGACTGCTGTATGTGAAAATGCAACAGAAAGGCCAAGGCACTCTAATTAACTTCACCTGGCATTCCCACTTACTGTGAACGTGCCTACCCTTTACACAACCTCGCTTAGTCACATCTTTTCTTAAACACCCAGGTTGAAATTTTCATTTAATGTCAGTAAGCAGATTACCTCCATCCCCCCACATACCACCTCCCACCCCTTCCTTCTTTTTTTCGTAACCTTTTTTAGACTTCAGCAACAGATTTATATTCAGGGCGGCCACAGCTCTTTGTGGTGCTAAATCAATAAAATAGTGTCCCCCATAACAGACCTCTGTGTTGTCCTTCCATCGATCCTGTCAGCGCAGATACATTCAAGAGCAAGCAAGGCCATTACCCTCTGCAATCCTAACTTTGATGTATACAGAAGATGACAGGTGCCAGACATCAGCTTTGGGTAATTGTTACACTGAGAGGGGGCATCGTTAATCATCGCTCTCTTGGCCTCAACTCAGTTGCTCATGATCGGTTTTGCGGTTTCTGTAGTAGTTGTCAAAATCAGAACGCTTGCAGGCATCACCCTCACCTTTTCACCTTGTTGCCACAGGGGCAGAGATTATATTGTGATGTGTGACGCCATGTTTCAAATTGTATAGATTAAAACCTACTTAATAAAATAAGGAGATGCAAGCAGTATGGTATGCAACGGTGAAACATGCAAAATCCTATAAAAGATTAAGTATTTAAAGAAAAATAATCCTTTACTCATTCTGAGCTTAATATCAAGTGTTCTAAAATGTTGATAAAAATATACACTCTTGTCGCCCTATTATCTTGGCATTATCAAGAAATTCAAATCTGCTTGAAATGTGTGGATCAAGAGCTCATTTTGTTGAAACCATCGGTGAAGTGGCAAAGTTAAACTTTGTGTTTTTTCATCTACTCAGAAAGATATTAATCAAGTTCAGAATGTTTTAATTAAATCCTCTATTTCATAAAGAAGGTTTAATTACTAACTTGGGTTCCACTTGATTTGCAGCCCATCCTCTTCCAGAGTAAAAAATACAAAGGTGTTATATTCCTATCAGTATTAGTTAGCATCTCCTTGTTTGGTAATTCCAGCAGGTTTAATTCTCACATCCTTGCAATTATCAATCAAGGTTTAGCACTTGTGTTACCTGGAGGTCAAAGTGGTAATTACAAATATGCAGTCTGAAAACATCGAGGTTTTTAGATTTCTGGGGAATATAGAATTGAAAAACGATACCAGCAGCGTACAAGCCTAGGACAAAGTAAAAAGACATTGCCATCTTAAATGGTTCCCTGCAGCAAAAAGCTCCAGAGACAAATGTTCAAGCAGCTTATTTTCCCAACTGGGGCGAAGATGGGACGTGATTCAACAAACCTATAACACCTTTTGACTGCATACTATTACTTCAGCTGCTCTGTTAAAATAAATCCCCTATCAAATGTTTCAAATAGATGCTTTAATTTTTGGAAAGAAGAGTCTTTTAAAATGCAAATCAATGCTGCAGTAGCTTTTCCATTACTTTGCAGCGATCCCTCTTTGACCCACTACACTCGATTCAGGCAGCCCTGGAGTGATTTAACGTGTGGCATCGTGGCAGGATTCCCACCTGTGAATTCCTTTAATTGCATCGCTGATTTTTTTGTTTGCCGGTTTTGTAGTTTCCATTATTTTTCTTTTTGGCAACTGAAACATATTGAGTCGTCTCGAGTCTGACTCCTCAATTTGTCAGCTTTGGTGAGGTTGACCCCTTTTGAGTTGTGGGTCAAAGCTATAACTCACACTCTGTGAGTTGAAGCAATCCCATCAGCATCCGCTGCGTCCTCATTCCTGTGTTTCCCCAGTGTCCGGCTGCTTCTGATCACCCTAACAGCAATGGATGGCATTCATAGAGTGCTTAGATTAGACTCTGTCATGAGGTTCTGCGATGGGTTCAGGAGAAAATGATTCATGTCTCTGCATGTGCATCCACCTCTCTGATGGGGGGTTTCCAGTTTGATCCCAGACGTCCCACCAGCTGTGATTGCTGTTTTAAAACGTCAAACACAGTTGCTGATTAGATATTAAGGTCTTAAGCAGGCAGCGTTGTGAACAACCTCAAACAACCTCCATGTATCAACTGATTTACTTTAATCTTGATTTGTGATGATGAATGCATTCAGATATGTAAATCCAATGTAATTATTTTACTTGTTCAGAGAGGTTTAGCTGGCATGAACATTTGACAACTAGGACTATATATATGAACTATTTGCCCCAAAGAAAGAGAACAAAAAAGAACCACTGGCAAACTGGCCATTGCTCCGTGAGGCAGTACAGATTTGTGCTAAATGCTAACTCCAGCCTGCTAACGTGCTCAAAATGGCAATACTAAAGATATGGAAAGAAGGCATAATATTTTCCATGATCACCACCTCAGCATGTTAACTCACAGATTGTCATTTCTCCAGATTGTCATTGTCATTTAGCAAGCTTTGCTAAAAAATTAGAGCAATTTAAAGAAGGGTGACAACAACACCTGCCGACTATTAAGGGGGTTCCTGAACATTAGGAAAATGCCTATCTTGCATTTCCTCTAAAGAACTTGATTGATAGAGTCCTTGTTTATCCTGTGAGATTCTTTGAGTTACCTACATCTCCACTGTTCCAGTTGATAATATGTCTCAGTTATAATTGAGTGTGATTAAGCTGCCTTTCTTAAGGAGGGAACATTAAGCTATTAGGTTGATTAGTAACACATTTAAATGTAACCATTCACAAATTCCCCACATAAGTTAATTCTTGATCATGGATGGACAGTTTGACAAAAAAGCTATCGTGAACTTTAAATGGCATGTTGCTGTCTTCCTCAGCAGATTGAGTTTTCGTCTTTTGACAAGTAGGGAACCTTGGTCACATTATAACCCGTCTTTCTTCAAAGACTTGAAAGCTGAGTAAGATTGTGAGATGCAATTGAAAACTGAATTTAATAGAAGGTTTAATATCTTGATTTGCTGCGGGGTGATGAAGACAGACCTTGGTCTCACCAGGAGGGAAGTATAAAGGAGCGCTTGTGCTGCTAGTTCATACAAAAAGTGCTGCAAAGACATTTCTGCGGTAAGTCTTAATTGATATGTTGAAAAAGGACAGTGACAGCACAGCAGGTTGCCCAGGTAACAGATCCAATATAGGCTCTGTACAATATTACATAACATAATGCAGGTATATTCGTAGATGATCAATTGACATGGTAATGTGAAATATATGAAAAATGTATCGTTCGTTTGTTCTGCAAGGCATCAGCTGTCTATGTGGGCTACAAACTAAGTATATTTTCAGTCAAATGTATCATTTATTAATTAATGAGACAAATATATTGTTCATAAAGGACAATGATGTGAAAATCAGTTACTGTATCTTATCTGACAATGTGTACAGTATACAATAAAAATATATTGCTATTATCTATTCATGGGAAGGGATATTTTATTAATGATACATAATATTCTCATAGCCTACATAGTTATGTTATCTATAAACAATGCATAAAGGTGTCAACTTAAATTATAGCTTAACCTTATCTTTCTTGCCAGCACACAATAAAGTAACCAAATATTAAGTGAAACACATTAATATAACATGTATATGTTGGGGAATATAGGCATTTGCTTTCTTTCTGAGCGTTGTGTGGTAAGATTGATACCACTCTCACCTGTATGTTTAATATTGAGTAACATCAGCAGCTGGATAGAGTAGAACAAATAAATGACTTTGTGATAAGCACAGCCAGTTTGATGGAGTAGTTGCATTTGTAGCGCACAGGAATGAGAGTTTTATTGATAGTCTGATAGCCACAGAGAAAGCGAATAAGCATGTTCATCAAAATGTCAAACGTATCCCTTAAAGGCAGAAAATAGCTGATCCTGGCAACAACTGTAATTTTTGCTTCCGACATGTCAAAAATACGCTATATTTCTTTGATTGAGAGCACTGGACTAAGGGCATGTTGACCATACATTTTTAAATGATCTTAAATGACAGACAGTTTACCTACCGGTAAATAGGTCAGTGATTTCCAACGCAACCATTAAAAACTGTGATTCTTCTACTATTAATCACTACCAGAATAGCCTCGAGTTAACATTTCCTTGCCCTCCCGACCCCTCTTGTCCCCTTCAAGATCCCGCAGATAAGCTATGCGTCAACAGCCCCGGAGTTGAGTGATGACAGGCGCTATGACTTCTTCTCACGGGTGGTTCCTCCAGACTCGTTCCAGGCCCAGGCCATGGTGGACATTATCCAAGCCCTGGGCTGGTCCTACGTCTCTACCATCGCCTCAGAGGGCAGCTACGGAGAGAAGGGCGTGGAGGCCTTCACACAACTCTCCAAAGAAGCAGGTAAGAAACGATGATCAGCAATGGGCACTAAACAGAATACAAATTATTTAAAAAATAGTGTTTCAATGATTTAAACATATACTTTTTTCAACTTTGTATTTCCAATTTAACATTAAATCTGTTTTGGGTGGATGAATTATTGATCTGTTTGGCAACTGCTGTTTAAGTCCCCCAGTGAGTTGTTACTGGAAGAAAACAACTAGAGAAACAGCTGCTGCGTCACTATAATGAGCATAGCCTGTACCCTTGTCAATGTAATATACTGTATGTAACTATAGCAGTTTTAATTTAGCTGTTCGCAGACGCCGAAAATGAATTGTTTGAAAATGTCTTCTCTTTAGCCAGCACAGAAGAGAGAGGACTGGTCTGAGCGGGTCATGTGGGAGACATGATTTTCTTTCACTCTCTGCCTTTTCTGTTTCACTCAACCTCAATTTGGTATCCCTGCTAGTGAGAATGCAGCACTCTGAGGGTAGTAATGATGGTCATTCGGCCTCGTTGTCAGTCAGTTCAAACCACTCTGGCCTAGTTGTGTGCATGAAGCCGCAGCATTTTAGATATTAAGTCTTTTTAGAGAAGAAGCCAGCCTTCTTAAGTAGATGTCTCTAGACATTTCTCTCAGGAGCCGTGATTACACAGAGAGCCAACCCACTGAATGAGCTGGAAACAAGCTATTAGAAACTGTCTTGTTTGTTGTAATGCAACATTAATGGTGATTGTTTAAAGTGGCAATGATCCTTTTTCTTCATGTTTAAGTGTTAAGTTATTTAGTTTGCATTTTGGTTTAGCAGGGTTAGAATAAGGATGTTGAAGAGTATTCACAACAGAAATGTGCATTCAGACAAGGTATTGGCGTGTTTCTGCCTGTAACTGGGCTGACAATTGTGCACATGCTTGACTCACCTGCTCTTTGCACATTGATGCCGTTGTGGGCATGTGGTGGTACATGTGAATCAGCAGTCACTGCTGTCGCCAGGAGACACTCCGTTGCTATACAGTACAATGGGTCGGCTATATTTGTCAAATCATGTGGTTTACAATCTGCTGCCCTTCAGTAATTCTGCAAGAGTAGAACACGGATACATTTTATAAAACAGTCCAGTGAGTTTGAATTGACTGATTATTTTAACAGCAGTTAAAAGTGTTGGCAATTGCTGTTCCCAATCCCTTTTTCCATATTTGTAAATATGCAGTGCAGTGCCCCTTCAAAACGTGCCTGTTTTCGAACAGGCTGATTGCTTGGCATGTGGTATTGCTGCTTGCAGCTTTCCCCTTAAACCACTCATCAAAACAACTTCAAACACGACGCAGTGCTGCCTTTGGTCCTGAGTAATAAACCTGCCATGACACTGTTGTATCCCCTAGAAATACTAGAGTATACATTAAAATAGGTTTAAAAAACTCACACAAACATTGACATTGATTTGGTGAGCTGCACCCAGCAGGCCGTCTTAGTAAACTACTCAGTGTGTACATAACGCACTACCATACAAATATCCCGTGGATCTCAAGAGTTCACACACCCCATTGGCTCAAGACAATAAGAGAAAGTGTTTTGCTGCTTCTCACGTCGACCTTCAATGGATCCCAATCCATTTCCTGTACATCTGCAGGGAGTGATCTCTGTCTCTTCTAATGTACGGAAACCTCTTAAATGAGGAAAGCTAATGATATCCCACAGGCACTGATCAGAAGTCCAGCGGGCATGAATATTTTATCTGTGTGCATTCACGTCCAGTGTGATTGCTCATTAAAATGTTAGGAAGCTGTTTGTGGAAGTGTAATTTGCATCGATGCAGAGAGCGAGAAGGCAGACGGTATAGGAACAAATAGGGAAGCATCTGATGTAAGGCTTATTTTGGAAATGTCCCTTTATCTTAAATCCTGTGGATAAGCAGTTTCTTCTATAGTTTCCTTAGATGCATTTCTCATTGATGTTTCTCTTTTTGTTACTATGCAAAGAGGAGTAAACACACTGCTATTATTATGTCTCTTGAACAGCTTCACAAGGAGTATGAAATTATAAGCCATCATTGACTCATCCTATTGCTACTGAGCGGCAGTTACTTTGCAATATTTTGCGTTCATATACGAAATGGGAATTATTTTCTCCAAAATAAAAAGCTTCCAGTACCCAAGGCATCTTATCTTTAATAAACACATTAATTATGTAATAGCATAACATTACATCCGGAGAATCCATTCAAAGGCATCGGTTCTGCACCAGAACAGACTGCAATGGATTGAAGAAGCAAACGTCCTGGGGAATATAGAAAGAGAATATCTGAATGAACATAGGGTGTGAGTGGATGTATTAAACAGAAACTGAGAAACAACAACAAACACTTTAGGTTGCTGTAGGTGTTTTGCAGCATCCCTGCAGCTGCTCAGTAAGGCCTAGATGTGTTTTATTTTATGGCTGCTCTGTTTGGTTGCAGTGAAACGTCAGATGCATTAGTAGGATCCTCGCTTCACCACTTCAAGCAGAACCATCTAGTGGACTAATGCAATGTGGCTACCCATTACCCCAAGCTGAGTCTGGAGTGATGGTCAGCCTGTATTGATCTCTTCTGTTTTTTTCTATTCTTGTTTTTTTTTCACTCCACTTTCTCTCCCCCTGTTTAGGCACTGTTCCCATTGTGCACCTTCATCCTGGCTCCAGGTGAATCTGGCAGAGATTAATCGTGTTTGTATTTTTCTCTGTCTGTCTGGACCAAAGCCAGACCAATGGAGTTCAGTTTTCCCATTTGATAAAAACACTTGCATTTGAGGAAAACCTCCCACAAAGTATCACTGTGGAATAGATTGCAGCACATTGCCAACACCATGCATTCTTAGATGACTGTCGGGGGGCTCTGCCAGATAAGTAAGGCACTGATGTTTAGCAGTAGAAGAGGACTGGGGAGGAAGCCTGACACATCTTTAATGACCGTTTAAAAAAAGCACCATACTCCTGCATGACCCTCCGACATTGGCAAGTCCCCGACCGGCAGTAGAAGGGCACACAGATGTAGAATATGAATGTCAGCCACATGTCAGCCCATTTTGATGTGCTCCCACGTGTTGAGGCGGGAACCTGGAGAAAGCGGGTATGCCTTCGGACTGCCGAGGTGATAAATATAATTGCAGCATAATGGATCCCCTGGAGGGTTTGGAGGGTGTTCAGTAGGCGGGCTGGGGGTCGAATCCATCAAGTGAGCCTTTAATTTAAAAGGATTTGTATTTCACCAAGCAAAATGGCAAAGCTGGATTCCTCGCCCTGGAGTGCATTTTCAGAAACGAGGCCGTTGAGGTTGAATAATTGAAGTAGTTAATGCAGTGCATGACCTGTGCCACTCAGACAGATAAGCGGAGAACTTCCAAAGGCTTGATGAATTTAGCCATCGTGATCATTACGTCGTCTTTGATATATTAATCAAATGTGGAGCAGAGGGTAGGAGTTTATGGTGAATTTAGTTTTTGAATTAGGCCAATGTTGGAGGATGATATTTTAGGTAAAGGAGTAAAGCTCTGCTACGAATGGCAGTGTCACAAACTCCCTTCTGATGTGAGCATATATAGCATTTTGAGGGGTGAATGCACCAAAGAAGGGTTTGTGGACGCTGATATCAACAGTAGTGCATCTTTCGCAACCACTCTCTACCCTGAATCACAAATCATATGGCACTAATGAAGTTGTTACAGCACAAACACACCCATAAAGTTTTACGGCTAAGTGCAATTTGAATGTTTGTGCATCTGATGGTGGTGAAACTATAAAAGCGTTTGAGGCCAGTGGATTGGTTGTGAAGGCTGAGAGTCAGTCTCAGTCAGCGGTCTTGTCAGGAGAGGCTTGCCATGTGCCGCTTCCCTTAAATCCTCTTGAAGGCAATTGAGAGTGAGGAAAGCGAAAGATGTAAGCCCAGGATTTGGGAAAGGACGGAGAGGGAAGAAATTATTTGTCGTTTATATAAAAACCTTATCTTCTTTTTGTTTTTCCTCATTTTCAAAAACATGCCTTGTACAGTATCGGGAAATGTATTAATTTATTTTTAATGACATGGCTTGAGTAGTACCGTCCATCCTTTTTAAATGGGTTTCAGATACTTCAAATTATCTGAATAAGCGAATTGTTATTGCGTGTGGCTAGAAGAGCTGGAGTGTTTTTGCAATGGGGCTCATTTGCATTAATTGGAGCCAATTTTACGCCAAATATATGCATATTACAACATTTAAATATGTGCAAATAGCCCAGGAAGCACATTTTGCATGGCATAGCAGAATGGGGTGCATACTGTTCCTTTTTATCCAATTTGCACTTGCACTTAGCGGCCAGAAATGGTGTACAATCCTTCAATGAATTCACCCCTCAGTGTTATCCATGTGACCATCTGCCATGTATTTCTGATGACGCTTACTGCCATGTTAGTGGAAGCCAGAATGCACTCTACGTTATTTTGATACAATGCTATTTCTTCGATAACACTTCAACGAGTTGGAGTAAAACCCTCTCTTCTCCCCATGCCTGACATTTAGCTGTCTCACATCACACACCTTCGGCCAAGACAGACATGCAACTCTTCTTGAAACCCACGGCTTGAGTCGAGTTGTCTTTCATGTCCGCACGGTGCCTTCCAGTGACAGGTGAGGGCGTGACGACCCACAGCCTGCCAACTTAGAAGTATAGATACGATACTTTCATAACCATCATGTCTGACTCCCTGACTAACTGGCCATTCGACTGACTGACAGATGGGGTATTCTGCAGGCTTTCAATAATTTAGCCACCGCTGCTTAACTGCCTGGCCGCAGTCTTAAGGGCAGTCTTAATCCCGCTCCGTGTTCAGCTCTTTGTTCCGTCTCTCTCTGAAGATGGGACCTGCTCCAAATGCTTCTTATCTTCATTAGTGGCTTCTGTGGTCTGTATTATTGACTGTTGTGACCTTTAATATGTCTCTGCTCAAGACTGTTATACCATTATAACTCTTCACACAAGCCCCCAAGGTTTTACGTCTTAATGG